AGAGAACCTAAAGAAGATGTAAATAGAGAAATATACCATGTTTCTTAATGCAAAGGATAAACATAGTAAAGATGTCAATTCTCTCCCAATTTAATTTATAGACCCGAGGTAATTTGTCAAAATTCCAACAAGCATTTTTACTGGTTTCACAGGCTGATTCTAAAATGTATATGGAAGGCAAAAGAACCGGAATAGCCAAAACAACTCTGAAAAAGAAAAAAAAATTGGAGGATTCAAATGACCCAATTTCTAGACATATTATAAAGCTATAGTATTCAAGGCAGTGTGGTATTGGAGAAAAGATAGACACGTAGATCACTGGAAGCAAACAGAGCACCATAAATATACCCACACAAATATAGTCAACCAAATTTTACAAAAGTGCAAAGGCAATTTAGTTGGGAAAGCATAATCTTTTCCACAAATGGTGCTGAAACGGTTGGACGTACATATGCAAACAAAATGAAGCTTGATGCATACCTTATGTTTTACACAAAAATAACTCAGAATGAGTCATGGACCTAAATGTAAAATATTAACATAAAACTTCTAGAACAGTGATTTCAACTGGAGGTGCTTTTGTTTCCCGGGAACAACATATGGAGACATTTTTGATTGTCACTACTTGGAAGGGGATTCTACTGGTATCTAGTGCGTAGAGACCAGGAATGCTGCTAAATATCCTACAATGCACAGCACAGCTACCTGCACAAAAAAGAATGTTAATTTCTTAGTTTGGATAAATATACCATGGCTATCTATGTTTCCCTTAAAGGAAAGGAAACTTGGTAAAGGGTATATGAAAATACTCTCTTTGCAACTCTTCTGAACATCTGAAATTATTTCAAAATAAAAAAATTAAAACTTGTGTATCACCACTTTAGGGCAATAGAGTACTTCAGAGTCAAACATTCGATAATTTCATAATTTATTTCTATGAAGACATCATGTACTTTAGCTGAAGTATTGTTTTGATGTCTTGCAAAATCATTTTAATTCTTTGATTAAATTTATGAAATGCGTTAATATTGCCAGTCATGGCTATATGTTGAAAATTTGAGAACAATAAAATATTTTCAAATGTCTCCTCTTTGAAGGAGTATTCCTGTTTTATCTAACCTAAAATCTTTCTCCACCAATCTTTCTGATTTCTCATAGAACTTGTTTTCTGAAATAATTTTGTTCCCTTGTTATTGACTGTTTCCTCTCCTGGAGTACGTGCTCCGTGAAAGCAGGGACTTTGTTGTACCCCTAGGACCAGAAGTGACACATTAGAGAATGGATGCTTAAATTCTTGTTAAGTAAATGAATTATCTGTATTTGAGTTGCATCTTCCCATTAAGTCGTCTGTATTCAAAAGTTGGAGCTTCTTTAAACCACCACTTGACTGTGAACAGATTAGTCCCAATCCTGGTATCAAATAATTTACCCAGAGTGAACGTAACACCTGTTTCTTAAGCAGAAAGATGCACTGGCTTACACATTAAGATTTTTCATGGCAAAAGACAAACTCATACTTTTTCAAAAAAAGAGATAGAAAGGAAATGCATTTGTCTTTTGCCATGAAAAATTTTACACTTTTGTGGCAGATCATTCTTGTTCTACTAGAAGGCTTTTACTTCACCCGATTGGATGCTCTGCAAAGTGAGCTTTTTCCATTTATGATAGTATTTGGAACATTTCCAGAATATAAGGTTTTCTGTCCAATTAAATTTTTAGATAAAATGTTTTCATATGAATCAGATTATTTCAAATGTAAGAAAATTTGTGATAAGCATTGAAGGTGGAAATTGGCAAACATATGTCCACCTCTTACATGGTAGCACACGGCAGGTTTTATTAAGAGTTACTTGTTGAGCTGAGCAGTGGAGGCACACATGAAGGAATTATGAGCTCCACCTGGGAAGGTATGGGAAGGCTTCAGAAAGCCTTAGGTTGTGTCTTGAAGAAAAAAGGAATAAATCATCAAGAAAGAGTAGCAAACCCTAAATTGTAAATGTTTCCATTTGCCTTAACTCTCTTCAAGTAAAATATGGATAGAAATTAATTCACTTTTAGAATAGTGTCTTATAGAACACTAACCTCTCCCCAACTTAGAAAATTTCTGCCTTATACAGAAAAATGCACTTCTTTGTCACCATTTTGTATATGGAGGATGCAAAACAAACCCTACCTCATTCCACAAACAAAATAATCATTTAGCATCATTCTCAAATATTTAGCTAATTTTGTGGGTCTAGGTGAACAAATATATTTTTATATTTAGACATTAAAAACTGTTGGAATTGACAGTTATCAATGCACCTACCTATTTTGTTGTCTTGTCCTAAAATATTTTCATAGATTCTGTTATTTGGTCAGAATCAAAGATGAGAGATGTTCACAACAAATAAAATTTAGAAATCAAAGAAAATTTCATGAAGATTTTGAAAACACAAAGCTGTGGGGTCTGTCTTAAATTAGTTGTGTTTTATTGTCCTATCATATTCATCTTTAATTAAATTATATTTCAATGTAGAAATATATTTCCTAGATTATTTGAATGGAGTTTGATAATAGAATGGCATAATGCAATTCATCTTTACTAATTTACTGCCATATGTTTAGCTTTTCCCATTAGGAGCTGAAGGGAAGACAAAAGATCATACTAAGGGAGAGAAAACATTTTAAATAAATTATTTAAATAATAACTATATTTAAAATAAAGTACTAAGATGAATCTGGTCAAATAATAATGCATGATACAGGGAATTAAGTGCTATGGGCAACCAAAAGAACAAATATTAACGACATCTAGAATTACCATGGAAGTCATAGCAAATGAGGAGAAAGGAATTGAGATGCCCCTGGAAGTGTGAGCAGGATATGCATAAAATTTGGAAGAACTTTCTAAGCAATAAGAACATAATGATTATGGAAAGAACATAATGATTATTGGAAAGAAAATGTTCACTGAAACAAGTCTCTAACTGGGGAGTAGAGAGATACTAAAAATTTAATATCCAAAATCAATATTAGCCAGCCTACCTTTGCTAGTGGCTAGGAAAGAAGGGAAACATAACCATAAATGTGTGGGTAATTTTTCACAAGCATTTGCCACACAGAAGATGTTGAATAAACTTTTTTTTTGTATTAATTTTCTCTAAAAGTCAAATCTATCATAAACAAATGATAAAAAACAAGGAAGAAAATTGTAATAAGTCTTTTAACAAGCATTTCAAAAATATTGCCTCTTATTTTGCCACAATCTCAGAATTTTTTTTAAAACACTGTTAAGGAACGTTATAGACAGCCTTCAGGGAAATACTTTCAAGGACAGTTTCAAGAGTTTACCTTTAGAAACAATTTCCTCATTTCTCTAGCTGATGTTTTACCAATAGCACCAATTCATCAGGATAAAGGTGTACCACATACTTGACCGTATTTTATGGTTTATGGTGGAAAGAACATAGCCTACTTAGAACAGTCCATCTGAAGAAAGAAAGAAAGAAAACTTGGTGAAGAATCATTTGCTCCTAAAAAGTGCTAGTCAGCTTCTCTTCTGGAGTTAACAGTGGTAATCAAACAGAAATAATACTTGACTTAAATCTCCATTAATGGGGCAGTCCAGTGAATATACAGCTATCTGCACCAATGAGGCTGAAATTCCTTATGGGTTGGGAAAAGTGAGAAGGAGCAGGAAGCTGTCACCACCTCACATTGAGGGTGCCACCGGAGCATCTTCTGTAGATGAAATAAAGCAAGTCAGCACATAGCTAAGCAAGACAACTAAAAAAGAGCGTGAAGGATATGAGTTCAGTGAAACGCAAACTGGGAGCTGTTTTAGGGCTTTGGCCTTTCTAGAATAGTGTTTCCATTTCCCTTTATGAGTAAGACTTTTTTTTTTTTAATTTAAGAATTTAACATAGAAAGTAGTGGTCTTGCTCTTACATAGTTTTGGGGCCCTGGTGTTGTGGTAATAGGTATTAAAGGTCATATATTAAATGGAAGATCAAGTAGTAGTGTAGCATTAAAAATCTTGTCTTAAAAATTCTGCTGGGATTCATTAAGTGGATCTGGTGATATTAATACATAGGTCATTTATTTTATCAAAGGAAAAATGTTATCCAAAGTAAGCAATTTATAGTACTGTATGAAAATATTTTTATATACAGATATAGTGTCAAAATTAAATATACACATTCCGTTCATTAAAAGGCCAACATATATTATTCTCTTAAAAATATACCTCCCAAATTGCAAAATCATTTAGACAAGTTTTATTATACATAAATGACAAAAGTAACTCAGAACTAAGGTTTAACATCCTTAGACTAGGTGGATTTATATTTTTTAAAAAATGTCCTTTTTTTTTCATTTTAAAACATTTGCTATGCCATTTATTGAAGGCATTTTGTTATATGTTCATGTTCAATTACATCTCTTGATATCTCTCCTAAGTATCTTGGACGTCTTTATGCTGTTGCTTCTTTAAGGTGTGTTACTCTCTTGTTCTCATGGGCATTGTCCATATGCCACTGTTAACCCTAAATGTCTCCAGCACAGAAGATGACAATTGCCACTCTTAATACAGTATATTGATTCATAGTGGGACATAAAATTATTTTAATAATAAAGCAATGTAAATTTTGAATCCTGTAACCTTTACATAATTCATAAATTTGATGTCTTCTAAAATATTTAAACAGGTTTGAAAAGTATTATTGCAGCTGATAACTTACATGAATTGTCTTACAAAACTCAGTAAAGAAGTAATACCGATCGATACACGTCCACATACATATGAAATAGTTTGTTGATTGCAGCATTCAGTTTCCATTGTTTGTATCCATCTTCTAGTAATACAGTGTGGATTTCTCAATTGCTCTAATCCATTTTTACCAGGATGCATTCAGTAACTTCCAGAAGGCATTCTACTCCAAAAAAAATTGCATAAGCAGATAGATTCTTGGAGGATGCAAGTAAAGTTCATATGTTTCTGTATCGCCACTCCATATTTTTCAATGTTCCTTAGTGCCCCTCAAAATTTTATTCCAACAAGTTTTTATGTTTTGTATTAGTCTCTTTAGGAAACACAAGCCATTCTGTTTTTTCTGTTCCTTTAAAGATTTATTTTCTTCCTGGAGAAATAGATTTTAAAAAGTTTTTTTAACTTCACATTTTTATAAAAATACACATGTTTAAATATTCAATCTTTAATTTCCATCATGTTATGTTACATAGAAAATTTGGTATAATGAAAAAGGAGAATGTTCCATTGATATTTTTAAAACTATGATTTCTAACTATAATTGTGATAACTGATATGTAGAAAATTCAAGGTTGATATAGTTTAAGATCTAGGATTTATCAAAGAGCTATGTCAGCTAAGCTGCTATATTCAGACTGTAACAGTGGACATAATAATACTGTTTAAACTTTAATGAGAAAGATAGCTGTATATTACCCAAGTTTATTTTTAACATGGAAAAATGTATTTTTGGTGGAAGGAATAAATTACACAACAATATTCAGATTATTTTAGCAAAGATAATAAGGACATACCTGATTGAGCTTGTGCCCTAAAGTCTATCCCAACAATCTAGCTTTCACTGGACCATGGCAGATAACTGCCTCATAAGCTAGTTTTTAGCACCTGACAAGAATCTTAAAGAGAGCTACCTATACAATCTGTAGAAAATGGAGAAAAAGATACATTACATGAAAAAGATATATAAGGGAGTAGCTCTGCATAGACTCAGCTATATTCCTCTGAGCCCTCTGACCTGCGGGAGTGGGATTAGTACAGGGTAGGGTAATTCTTCATTTAGATAACAATCAGTTACTACGTATTTTCTAGGTCAGGTATTGTGCTCAATACTTTAAATAGAGAGCATCATTTTATCTGCTTAATAACCCTATGAACCCTATGATGATTTCTCATCTCACAGATGG